CGCTCTCCCTGCCCTCCTGCCTCGCACTCCTTCCCCAGCCGCGGGCACCCCCTGGCTGATATCCCTGGCACCCAAAGGTCGCGGGGACGCGGGGACGGGGTGCGCCCGCCCTCCTCCTAATCCAGCCCAGGGGACAGGGACAGCGCGCACCAACGTGCCCCGTGGCGCCCAGCCCCAAGGCGGAGGTGGTCCCCGCTGCGCGCAGCGACGCGCTCGGGCCCGAGAGACCCGCGGAGGAACCGGACACGAGTCCCCGCGGCGGCGGGGTGGGTGTCGCGCCCGCTCCCACGGGCACCTTCGGAGAGGACACGTCCCCCCACGAGCCCGCGGGGAGTCGTTAGACCCTGGATGGGACCGAGTCTTCTCTCGTTGGCTCCCAGCTCCTGCACTTTTTGTACCTGGTCTTTGCAGAGCGACTGGTCATTTTAGGCCCGAGACAAGCCTCCCTTGATGAATAAACAGCCACCGTTCATTTTCTAAATGTGCATGTGCGTATACACTGTATTGTTGTGCAAGAAAGCACCACAAGGGTCCGCCGGAAAGTTCTTCGCCTGCATTAGGGAAGCAATTATAAACTCATGGTCCAAACCTGAAGAGCCAGAAAATCAAGTTGAGGGCCGGGGGTAGGATGAAACCAAAAGGAACAAGAATCGTTTTGTTTTTGTTTTTGTTGTACGTTTTAATCAGATGTCAGGTTATTGGACCCACTTGGTAGGCAGCAAAATAGAGCAGCACTGCCCAGGTTTAAAACCCAACTCTGCCATCCACTAGTCGTGTGACCTTGTGCAAATTCTTAGCTGCTCTGTGCCTTGATTTTTTAATCTACAAAATGGGGATAAGATAGAGATACACAACATCTCCTGCCCTCCCACTTTGAGGATTAAATGAGTCAGCAGTTCTGAAGTGTCTCAATCTGCCTGGCTCTTGGGAAGCACCACATAAAAGTCAGTTCAGATTATTATAAATTGGTTATAACAAAGAAGCAAGCACATTCCGTTGCTAGCACACAGATTAAGACTCAGTAATGCCACATAGCAACTGCCACTACTCTGACAAATATTTCTGTCATTAAAAAAAAAACCATAGCTTCAGCTTTTCATGAAAAAAAGAAAACTATTGATTTCTGAGCCTGTTAGGCAGGCTGCTTTGATAAACATATTCATAATAATGTTGTGCCGTTCGACTTTCCGGAAGAGGTAACTTGTTAAAAAGTGTTCCCCAAATGCAACAGCCTCTGAACTGCTCCCTGCTGTATTCCCAAGTCCACCTCAAAAGCAAATAAAATGAGAATTTGCAGTCAGAGAGGGTCCGTTGTGTTTTAAAAACACCTCAGAGCTCATTAGAAATGCCTGGGGTGGGGCGGGGGAATTATTTATATGATCACTTGAAAGGTAGTCTTTTTTTAACATTTAGATTTTCATAACTGTAGATCGTAAAGTTTAATTTAAATATCTTCTCTTAAATGTACGCATAAAATTCTGAAGAATGATGGTGAAATGTGACATTTATAGCGTATCTTTTAACTATAAATTGTATAATTTCTTACCAAACCAGCACCTATCACAATGCCTGACACTAATTAAATATTTACTGAAAGTATGAATAAAACAAACAAACACATTAAAACTAGAATTTGTGGGATGTGTTATTCTCTGAAGAAGCAATGAATGCTCAGTTACATTTTCCTCTCATAACTGTTTCTCTTACTCTTTTCATCTTCTGCATCAAACCAGCTTCTAAGTTTCATAATGCCATTTTACTGATGTAAGAAGAATTTTAATACCATCTGTCTTAAAAGGACTTCTTTATTTCCAAATTCAAAGTACTATAAACAGAGAATTGGCAGAAACCTGTCATCTGGCCCAGCCTTCTTCCTTCAAGCAAATAAATGATTTAATTGTCTACTAGGAAGACCTTTTCCCCTTCCGTGTCTTCTTCACTTGACTGATATGGTAACTATATACTGATATCTCTACTTTAATTGCAATCCTTTTCTGTTAGCATGGACACACAGATTTTTTTTTTTAAAAACTGACCATCATCAAACTTAGCAAAAAAAAAGTGATTCATTTATATATTTATACAATTAAATTTTTTCTTTAGCTAAGATTCTCAAATCTGTTTACTTTTCCCTCTGGGGCCTATTTACATAGAATCTATTGAACTTATAATCAATTTTATTACTTAGGCTACATAAATTGAACTCCAAATTAAAAGTTTTAAAGAGTAATATTACCCAAAAAAATGGCTTTGGCAAACATTACTTCAGATACAGATTATAATGGATTGTATTATATGTTCACAATTTGCTTTCCCTTCTACTCTGGCTCACTTTCTGTAGACAGAGTGTATTTCCCCCAGAGTAGTAGCACTGAGCTGGACCTCCTAACTCCCTTTGGCCAATGAAATGTGAATAAACATGACAGCTTGTATCAGAGCAGAAGCTTTGGACACACTTACATAGTTTGCCCCTGTTCTCCCAGTTCTCTGACCTTTGGCCCTTGGCCTTGAAAAGGTCATACCCTAGGGAGTGGCAACTTCTTTGACTTTTGTCCAAGAATGAGAAGATCTGTCTGGACAGTAGAACTCAACTAAATTCAGTAAGACAAGCCATGCCTAGCAGAGCCATACACAGTCCTCACATGGTGGGAGTAGAAATAATTGTAAGCTACGGACCTAGTGAGGGCTATTTGTTACTGCACCAAAAGCTGACTTATACACCAATAATGAGACTTGAAGAGAAATGCTTTCCACTTTATCAACAACAAGGAGCTAATAAATTTATACACAAGATTCAGTATATATTTTTTTTTACTTTTCTAAAAGTGTACTGTTAAAAGTATATTGGCCAGCCAGGCACAGTGGCTCATGTCTATAATCCGAGCACTTTGGGAGGCCGAGGTGAAAGGACTGCCTGAGTCCACAGGTTTGAGACCAGCCTGGAATACTTGGTGAGACCTCATCTCTACAATAAATCAAAAAATTAACCAGGCATGATGGTGCGTGCCTGTAGTTCCAGCTACTTGGAAGACTGAGACTGAAGGATCACCTGAATCCAGCAGGTCCAGGCTCTGGTGGCTGTGAGCGTACCGCTGCACTCCAGCCTGGGAGACGGGGTAAGACTCCAACTCAAAAAAAAAAGTACATTGGTCAGTAAATCATAGATCTCTTATTAATTAATTAAG